CAGGACCAACGGATGGACGCCCTAGGGCCAGACTTGCAGACAATATATAACCTACTGCACGATCTAAAACGCTTCCCACTTCCACAGAGCGAACATCAGGCGGAGCAGAGCGGCGGCCGGGAGAGCAGCCCTCGTGCAGGTGAGTCCCCGCGGCTCCTCGCCTGCAGCCCGGCTCGGGAAGGGGAAGGTGCGAGGGACTCGTGCCAGCAGCAGCACTTCTGGGGTCGGGGGGTGATTCTGGATGGGGTTAATGTTTAATCCTTTTCCGTGCCCGTGCGAGTCAGCCGAGGAGGTGAGGAGCGGGTGTGCGGCAGAGCCCAGCTCAGCCCCGCTCCCTGCAGATGCCGTCAGCTGCGGAGCATCCCGAGCATCCCGAGCAGCTCCGCTCGCTCCCATTCCTTGTGCCTGGGACACCCGCGCTGCTCTGGGACATCTCCAGGCATCGGGGCTGCCTGCACCCTGCCTTTTCCAACAGAGCAGAACAAGAGCAAACAACTTTAAAAAGCACTTTTTTTTTTTTTTCCTTTTTTTTTTTCCTTTTTTTTTCCTAAGCCTGAATCCTTCAGCGCCTGCCTGGATGCCTTCACCTTCCTGCGCTGGAATTTCCTTTGCAAAGGAAACTGTTCCCAGCTGGGGCTGAATGGGGGATGTGGGCTGGAGATAACGCGGTTAAACGGCGAAGCAAACAAAGCACCCAGTGTCTGTCCGTCCGTCTGTCTGGGCGCGGGGGGGGTCCCTGCAGAGCACCTGCTGGGGCTTTCCTTGTGCCGTGTGGCTGTTCTCACACGGGGGGCACAGACTTCGTGCCTGGGATAGTTTGTGCCCTGCTGAATGGCAGATATTCCTAGCAACAGCTCCACGCTCTCGATGCTCGTGCAGAGTTCTTGTTGCTTTTTTTTTCTTTTCTTTTTTTCTTTTTCTGCCATTCATTGGGGTTTGGGCTGTGTCTGACCGCGGGGTGGGGGCTGAGGAGCCCGGGCTGCATTCGGGGCTGGGAAACCTCGGTGAACTTCCAGGAACTTGAGCAAGCTGCCGCGGTCCCAGGCAGGCGGCTGTCATTGTGAACTGGTTAAAGAGGGGCAAAAAGGTTAAATTGAACACATTTGTGGATTTCTGTTTATACGTGCTAAAATTTGTGTGAGTGGAAAAAAGGAGAGGGGGCTAAGTTGAACCCGAGGGGATGCTCCTGTGCCTCAGTTTCCCCCCCTGCTCACTTCACCGCGCGATGCCAGCCTGTGCTGCGCAGCCCTGTGCCTGCCCGGGCAGGGATGGCATTTCTCGTTCTTTGTTGGGCAATCAGAAATTAGATCATAATTAAAACTGCACTGTCGAGAGGGGACTCGGAGGACCCTGCTGGACAGGGACAGCCGGACACTGCAGGAGATGGCACCTGCGGGGTGCTGGGGGCTCGTGGGACCTCAGCAGTCCACGCGGGGTGTCCTGCGGTGCCATCAATTTGGGCCAAACTCTCCAGCATCCCCCTGCTGCCGGGAACTTTTCCTGGCCATAGGTGGAAATCCAATTCCCTTCCACAGCTCAGCACCACCGGGAAGTGCTGGGGAGCCCCTTGCCCCCCGCTCAGCCCCCTTTCTTCTGCCATTCTGGCTTCACTCTGCGCCCTGCCAGCAGGCAGCACCTTCCCCTCTGCAAAGTCAGCCAAGCTTGGGTGACAAGCACATGCCGCACAGGGTGCCACAGCAGAGATTTCGGGGCCCTGAACCCTGTTACACCCTTTGACAATCTGCAATTCCCATATCCAGCCTGCCCTGCTGTGGGAGAATTCAGGCTTTGGCAAAAGCTCTGCTTGCCCTCAGAGGGGTTAAAAACCCCAACCCGCAGTGCTGATTCTTCGCTGTCCACCAAGAGGGAGAAGCACGGACATCAGCGGGGATTTTTTTCCCCTCCCTGCCCCTCGCCGCTCCCTGCCACCGATCCCACAGGACTGATGCTGTGACCGAGGGGACCCGTGGCACAGACCCAGCTCCAGCCTGGGTCTGGGGGCCTGCTACGTGCGAGGAGCCGCTGATGTGCTGCAGCGGGGCTGGCGGACGGGTCTTGGTCGGCACAGGAGGCAAAGCACTCGCTGGGTATTAGGTCCTTATGGTGCTGGCACTGCTTGGGGACACAGCCCCCAAATCCCACTGCCAAGCTGGGAAAAGGGCCCGAGCCCCCTTCTGACGTGTGCAGATTTCTCCATGGGGAGAGGCAGGCACAGCTGGGGTCCCCCAGGGGATGTCCCCCACCAAGCCCCCCCCCAGCCTTGCAGATCTGACCCGGGGGCAGCAGCGAGTGACAGGAGGAGAGAAGCCACCCCAAAGGAGCCCACCAGGGGGGCGGGCAGGGGCTGCGGAGGCACTCGGCTGCCCCTGGGTGCCGGCACCTCTCGGCCCCCAGCCCCGGCACAGCAGCGAGCGGCGGCAGCGGGGCTGGCACAGCTGTGTGGCTTTCAGAGCTGCTTGATCGATAGCTGCTTCCTCGCGCTCCCCCATTCCCCCAATCCCCACATGCATTTTTCATGCTAACCCCTCCTGGGCAAAGGCTGTCTGCGCAGGAAACAAAACACCGCGAAACAAAACAAAACACAACCCAAACCCACTTTTGTTTCTTTGGTCCCCGGAGGTTGTTTTAGTTTAAGGGCCAATCTATATAGGTTCGGGGCTGGGAATATCTTTGCTCCACGAACAAAGAGGCATGAGAAAGCTCCCCAGGGCTTCTCTTCAGCCTCTTCAGGTTGGCCCAGAGCTGTGGAAGGCCGGGCTTTGTACAGCCAGCCCAGGCCTCTCAGGCAAGGCAGGGAAGGGGAGGCTGAGGCTGGGCTCCTCCTGGGCACCTCCTGCCAGCCCCACGGCCCTGCTGCCCCGTGCCAGGCTGAGCTGGCTGGGATGGGGCAGAGCCACCCCGAGCTGCGGCCCTGAGCGCCTCTGGGGCCCCGTTGGAGCTGCGTGTGCTGAGCTGGGCTCCGACAGCTCCCAGGGCAGCAGCAAACCTGCGGGTCCCTGCCCGGCCATCAGCATCTCCGACACACCGACTGCTCCCCGCAGCTGCATGAGCATCCCCTGGGAGAGAATGGAGATGAAGGTTTGGGCATTTTCCAGAATTAGGGGAAAAAAAAAACAACGCTGTGTTTGGGCAAAGAGCAATGTTCAGGGAGAATCCCCTTTTCCTGCCCTGTTGTCCATGGGGAGGGGAGGGGTCCCTTTCTGCTCCCTGGTTTTGGGTGGCAGCAGGAAGATGTGGGATGGTTTGTGCATCATTGCCAGCACCCCCTGACTCTCCCTGCTGGTACCGGTGCTGGCCTGGCCGCTGCAGGGAGGCTGCCACACAGCTGTGCTGAAGGACAGGGCCCTGGGTGGGATCTGGTGCAGGGCTCCCAGGGACCCCCCCGACCTGTGCTCCTCTTTGTGTCCCCAGCACCGGGCACCCCATGGGCTCAAACCCCTTGGGACGAGCAGGGAACCCCAGCCACATCACCCCACATTGCTCCCAGCCCTGAGCTGGCATTCCCCAGCCCTCCCAACGCACCCCGGGGATGCGGCTGCACTGAGACATCTCGACCAGGTCCGGCGTACGGCAGCGAAAGGGCAGGGGCCAGGATTAGCACGGGGAGGAGGACACCTTGACCTTTCCAGCAGCTGGTGACGAAGAAAAGTTTCCGGCGACCTGTAGCAAGGCACCGGGCGGGCTCTGTTATCATCTCATCAAAGGCCAGTGTGCCGGCCAGCAGCGGGCGGCCACTGCCGCAGCGCCGTGGGGCTGGGAATTAACTCACCGGTGCCCGGCTTGGCCAGGAGCTCCTGGGATGCCGAGCTGGGACAGGCAAGAGGACAGACCACAGCCGTCCCTGTCCCCTCTGCTGGCTGGCACCCAGCACCCCCAGGGGGCTCAGACCCCATCAAACCGCTCCCATGGCTGCAGACCCACGGAGAAGCTCGCATGGGGGCTGTCGCCGTTCCCCTCACCAGGTGCCGGCACCCTGGGGTGCGGGGAGGCAGCCGTGCCCCAGAGCCGCCCCAAGCTGTCCCTCTGCTCACTGGCCCGGGGTAGGGGGTGGCAGCCGGCTGTCCCCGACCTTCCCGCGCGCAGATGGCATGGGCAGCCAGCACAGGTGGCCCTGTGCCGCGGCAGATTGGGGCCGGCTGCCTGCTACGCGCCCGGGAAGGGCTGCGTCCCCGCCACGGCTCGGGGACAAGAGCGAAGGCAGGGAGCGGGGAGCTGAGGGGGCAGCAGGGACAGCTGCAGGTCCCCGCGCTGCTGTGCCCGCCGTGCACGGTGCCAGACCCGGTACTGGCACCAGAGCCCTGCTGAGCTGTAAAATACTGAGCCGAGGACACAGCCCGGTGATGGGGAGCCTGTGGGTCAGCAGCGAGAGGGGATGCAGGGTCCCCTTGCTCGGCCCTAAAGAGACAAGCCAGGCCAGAGCAGTAGACGATTTGGGGAGGGTCGGATTTCCAGAAATTGCATTAACCTATGCACAGGGGTCCCAGGGCACAAGCTCTAGGATGATGGCAGGGCTGTCCCAGTACGAGGGGCTGCGCAGAGGGGTCATCCCGCACCGCTGGAGGCACGGTGCACGAGGCATCAGGGCACGGGCTGCAGCAGGTAAATGATTAATGCCGCAGAGAGCCAGCCTGGCACCCTGCCCATCGTGTGCTGATGGGAGAAGGTGACGCCGGGAGGGGAATTTTTGCACCCAGGGCTGCCCACGCCACCCCACGGGGGCGAGGGCTGGTGCGAGGAGCCGGCCCCGAGCTGCTCACGCACCCAGCCCCAAACCCGTGTGCCGCGCTGCCTCCCGAGCACGTTCTCCTCCAGCCCAGCTGGTTTTGCTCCCAGCCTGCTCCGTCTGCGCGCATTAAAGCTGTTTCTAGGTCTGAACTGCTTTTGGCAAGCCAGGCTCCTCTTGGCCTGTCCCTCTCCCCACCGCCCTCCCCAGCCCCGGCACGCAGCCCCACGCCAGCCCCCGGCCGCTCCCCCTCCCTGGCCGCAGCTCTGCCAGGGCCATGGCAAATCAGAAAGAAGCCTGCGGGGCAAATCGGTACAAATGAGACCGAGCAAGAGGGTGGGGAGGGACGGTGAGGGAGGGGGGAATGACTCCTGGGTTCGCGCTTCTGTTCCCGAGTTTGATGTTGTCTGCAAACAGCCCTGTAAATGCTCGGGAGCAGCATCCGCAGGCACCTGCCCCGCTCCTCTCCGTCCCAGAGCAGAGCAGGGGCCCGGCCGGACGCTCAGCGCAGGCGGGGAGCGGGCTGAGCTGTAAGTCCTGCCAATTCGGGGCCCGTCGGGGCGGGAAGGGGTTGGTGGACAAGGGGACCGAGGGGCAGGGGTGACCCCGAGGACAGCACCTCACCGAGGACCCGGAGGGGGAAGCTGTCCCGAGGCGAAGGCTGCCGTATCCCCCTGGTTTGCATTGCCCCCAGAAATCAGCCCAGTGAAAACGGGGAGTCCGGCAGCATGAGCCGGGGCTCAGGTGCCAGAGGGATGTGTGGGCGCTGGGAAAGGGCTGAGCAAACTGTAGGAACGGGGGCACTGCGGGGAAAGACACCGCTCGGCACGGGGCTTAAATCATTTCACAGCGCTGCTCTTTGATCCAGCCACCGAAATTTTTGCAAAGTGTCGCCGCTCCATCTTATCAAAGGCGCTCGGCACCGGGAGGTCATATGGGGCCTTTCTGCTTGGATTGCTCTCCTAATGACATGTCCAATTGCCTTTGCCGGGAATTTGCTCACGCGAGTCTTTGACAATAGAAAGTTTGTGGCGGATTTTGGACGCTTTCCCCGCTGCCGTGTGGCGTGCTGCGGAGGGCTGACTTTGCTCCTGACTGGGAAGCGAAGCAACGTGTCGGTGATCAGGCTGGGCACGCACGGGGCACGGATTCATTTGGCGTGCTCTTTCCCAAGGACTGCATTTTCCTCTCCGTGATCACAGAAAAATCAAGAAGAGCAACTTTTTTTTTTAGGCTTGGAGATGTGATAAATGTTTGTAATTGCGAAAGACAAACACAAACGGAGGGAAGGTATGAGACTTAGAAGTAAGACAATATTATCCATATTACCCATCTTTTTCCCTCTAAATTCTTCCTAACGGGAGCAAAAACTAAATGTAGGCTGAGGTGCTGAATTTTGAAGGTTAGTTACTGCGATGTTTAATGGTGCCGGATAGAGATATACCAGAGAATTCATACCAGAGAATGAATGTTTGCAATAATTTTGACAATTAAATCAATGGATCATGTAATGAAGAGCATTTCACAGCACACAGCGTTCTCAGGCTCTTAAAAAAAAAAAAAAAAAGGGAGTAAAGAAATGAGGTGGGTAGGTCCCAAATGTGTATCAGCAGTGGAAAAGCCCAGGACCGACACAGGGCAGGCTTGGGGCACTGTCCCTGGGTTTTCTCACCCCTTCTGGTGTTTCAGAGCCCAGCAGTGCTGTGGTGCAACCCTGGTTTGGAGGAGGGAGGCACAAAATGGCCCCTCCGGAGCCGACATGCGGTGCCGGACACACAAAAATGAGGCTCCACGGCCGTTTTCCGTGGTCCTACAGCACAGAAGAGGTTAAAAAGCTGCCTTCCCAGCTTTACACCGGTTAATAACACCCAGCATCCAGCCCCAGTGGCTCTGCCTCAGGCCGTTAGCCTTCCCGGTCATTACTTGGCCATACAGACCCGGCTGGGGCGCTGTTGGAGGCAGGGTCACCTCTGGGCCCCAGCGATGCCGAGGGCACAGGGTCCGGGCTGAGAGCTGGGAGCTGGGAGCGGGGTGGCCCTGAGGGAGCAGGGAGCTGCCTTCATCCACGCTGACACAGACCCAACGTCCTCACCAAGGAGCAGAGCGGCTGCTGCTGCCTCCAGGGGAGTGAGTGGCCTGCAGCGCTGCAAATGTTCCTGCCCGGCACTAAATGTGCGTTTTGGGGGAGAGCCGCCCGCAAAGCGGCTGCGGGGAGCGGTGCCACCTCTCCTGCGCAGGTATTCCCTGCTGGCACCATGTCCCCTGGTGCTCTCTGCTGACAGCCAGCACTTCCAGCACATTTTCACCCGGGAAAAAGACTCATTTTAATTCTGTAGAAAGTTCTTTGGGGTGCACCCCCTCGCTTACTCAGAGTCAGGGTGATCCCATGCTCCTGGCTGCTTCATCTCCTGCACCTCCAGCGGGGTCGGTCCCTCCCAGCCCACACCTTCCCTCGCTGCTCCCACTGCCCCTTCAGACAGCAGAGCACCACTTGCCATTCCGTTATTTATTCAGCAGCTGGAGGAGATTGGGCTGGATTTTTTGGGATGTGGTCTCCAAATTGCACCAGACCCTGCCCCTGAGGCTGGTGCTGCAGTCCCTGCTGCGTGCTGCAGAGCTGGAGCAGCACCTCCCACATCCCCTCACCTTCTGCCTTGAATATTGCCAGCCCAGGCACAGCCAGGGTGGATTTACCTGCTGCGAGGAGAAAAGGGGCTGTCTGCATAGGGGAGAGATGCGATGCTTATGGGATTTAGCAGGGTCTTTGGCTGTGGTCTCCATAAGGCAGGCAAGGAGCACGTCTGGGCACGAGGCAGCCGTGGAGCCAGGTGCATGGCACGAGATTGGGAAAGATCCTGAAGGGAGCAGGAAGCATCAAATGGGGACAGAAAGGCAGGGATGGGGAAAGCTGAGGGCAGTGCTTGCGATGTCCATGCGTGGAGAGCCTCTCCTGGAGCAGAGGGAAAGGAGGTGAGGCTGCAGCAATGGACGCGTGCAGGAGCAGAAGGAAGTTGGGCTGCGAGGCAGAAGGTGGGCTGGGAGAGGAGGGGTGAAGGTTTCGTGCCCCAGTTCTCAAAGGAGATTGCACGGATCTGAGCTGGAATACGGTGAATTTTCTGGTTGTTAAATGGAGACTGATTCGGGGGAGCAGGACGCATGAGCAGATCATACAAGCACAGCGGGTTCTTCGTGGGAGAGAGCTGGCTGAAGCACGGGGTGAGAGCAGGGTTGTATCGACAAGGGGACACCTCTGGGGTGCCTTAGGTGACACTGCGAGAGCTGCCCTCTGCCAGCCCAGGAAAAACGAAGGAAGGAGGAGATCTCCTCCATTTCCTACCCTCCCATTCCCAGTGCATTTAAAGAGCGTGAAATGAGCAAGGGTACGTGGAAAATGGAAAGGAGGAGAAAATTTTTTAGTATTGGTGCTCAGGGACCTGAGCACAGAAGTTTCAGAAGGTTGTGGGGCCTTCTGGAGGGTCCAGGGGTGATGAAATGCACCCCGTTGTAGGACAGAGCTCACTGCTCTGCAGGGGAGGTGGTGGGGTGCATTGTGTCCCCAGCCTTGTGGGGACCCAGGCTCATAAAGGGTATAGAGATGGACCACCAGCCCCAGAGGTGGGCCAGGGGGAAGGCTGCGAGGACATCCCCAGGGCAGGTGGTCCCAGGCTGTGGGACACCACCATGGGGCTGTCAGACCTCACATCAGGCCAGCGAGAGAAGAAGAAACCTGTAAGCAGAGAAAGAAACCTCAGAGGTCACAGAAAGTGAAAGAAGTTATGGAAACCTTCCACGGATCACATCAAGCACGAAGGTTGCATCAAAGCAGCCTTCCAGCCCCTTGGGAACAGGCAGGGTGACTCTGTGGGGCCGTTTTGACCTCCAGGAGCCCTGCACATCACAGGCATGACACAGGAGAGCTGGCCAGTGCCTTCCTCTCCAGACGCATGAGCTTCTCAACCCCCCCCCAGCCCTCTCCAGATGGTTGTCCTTGTCCCCTGCCCACCATGCCAGCCAGGGACACCACCTTCTCTGCACGCCTTTGGGTGCCAGCCACACTGCTGACCATAGTGGCTTGCACACAGCCACTTTCCCCTCTACCCAGCCACACATTTTCATCTGGAGACTGATGTCGTCTTCACATCTCCAGCTCTGTGTGCAACTGAGCCACGAAATCCACGGCGGGGTGCCCGTGCTCTCCTGGGGCTCCACGAGCAGGTGTAAGAAGCAGGGAAACCCTGCGGTGGGGCCCAGACACGAGCTCGTGCGGGTGGCTGACGTGATGTGGAGAGACAGACTCACATCTCCTCAGCAGGACCTGCCTCCTGCCCTGGGGGGCTGCGGCACGGAGGGCTGCGGGAGGAAAGCCTTTTGCAGTGGAGAATGCTCGCCTCTATGGGGAGTAGCCTGGAGGCTCTCGCGGCCTCGTCTCATTTCTCCTGGAGCCTGTGAGCTGCGTGGCACGGGTGGAGGGCAGCAGACAAGGCTCCGACCCACCGGCGCTTGGTTGAACGCTCGCCACCACAGGGTTGCCTCGGGGGGACTTCAGGCTAAGCGAGGCTCAGGGAGAGACGGCTGCTTTTTGGGGACAGGCTGGAGGCAGAGAGCTCAGGAGAGGTGAGAGATGTGGAAACGCTTCTTGAACAAGGGCACAAGAGGGAGGAGAAAATTCGGACCCAGGAGTAGGGAAGGCTTGTGTGCACAAAGGTGCTGTGGCTCGTGCACGCAGCAGGGAGCGGGTTCATCGTGGAGCTTGCAGGACTCGCTCCAGAAGGTAGCAGTGCTCACCGAGACTCCTCATGTCATGGGTTGGTGTTTGGGGTCAGACTGGCTTTGGGGCTGCAGGCGGCCCTCACCAAAAGCTCTCCGTAGACACGAGCTTTCCAAAGCAGAAACTCCGGATCCTCCAAAATGCTGGAAATCCAAAGGTTGGGAATCCAAATGCGACCAGATTTTTAGGCAATTGGGTTTGGACATTTTGCCTGTAAAGCCGTTTGGGCTGCCTAAAGGTGAAAAATCTAGGTAGAGATGAGTGCTGTCAGCGGAGGCCAAGCAGGAGTAAGGCAAACATCCAGGTGGACATTGTCCCAGATCTGTTGACACAGGGACCCCAAAGGATGGCCTCACGCCGTTGTTTTATGGCACATGAGAGCAGTTCAGCTCTCAGCCCCCACACGGGTTGAGGTTCGGGGTGGTTGGGAGCTCCCGGGCCCCACGAGGCTTCCCCCCTCGTCCCAGTGCCTGCTGCTTTGCCATGGCCAATTGCCCTCACCCCAGCCTCTGATAAACGCTTAAAAGCTCAAATCACACAACCTCAGGCTATGAAAACAAAAAAAGGACCCGATAGCCACTAATAGCCAAGTAGCCCCTGCAGCAAAAGCATGTAGTGTAGGGAAAGTGGTTTGCATTGATCGGCGGCTCCCCGCTGCCACCCGCTCCCTGCAAAGCCTCTCTGCCAGCTGCAGGCTCGGCACTGCTGAAAATGGGATAAAACCCCCCAGGAAGCGCCAAATTGGGGGGTTCTGGGTAATGGCAGGAAAGGGAGGGTTTGTGGGGCTGGATCAGGGTAAGTGGCACATCCCACATCCCCTGCTGCAGGAAATGCTGCTGGCAAATTGCCCTGCAGGGACCACAGAGGTGGTGGCGATGCCCAGACCCTGGAGCACGAGCGGTTTGGACACCAGCGTGTGGGGATGTCTCTTGCCCCTGTGGTTGTCCCTGACACACAGGGTGACAGCTGTGCAGGGTGGAACCAGCTCACGAGACCACGGGACCCTCAGCGCTTCCCCCACGGCCCTTCTCCCTTGCCATGTCCTGTGGGAAAGGCTGATGGCTACCGATTTCCATGGTGCTGTGGCTCCCTGGCAGCCAACTGCGTTGGAGGACTTTGAGGGCAAAGGGAGGACAGCAGTTTGAGAATGGGCTCCTTGCTCCAGCCAGAAAAGCTCTGAGGTGTCTGCAAAGACAGGCGTCAGGGCAGGTTCTCAGTGGCAGGGCTTCTCCGATGGACGTGCTGTGAAGACCTCTTTGAAGCAGCCCCCTCCACTTCAGCAGTGCTTTTCTCTCTCCCTTCCCTGAGCAGGGTGCTCGGATATGGCTATGTAAGGGGGGAGAGGGCTGCAACGGCTGGCCCCGTGTCCAGCTTCAGCCTGGAAAGAAGGTGGTGAAGCAGGGGTGTGATGGCGAGCCTCAGACTCCCCCCACGAGGTCAGGGACTGTGGTCGCTGCCTTCTGCAGCCGAAATATTGGGGGGCATCGAAGGGAACTTGGGGGAGGAACTGGCTCAGGAAGCAGCACGGTGTGCAGGGAACTCCCTGCTGCAGGATGTTTTGGGGGCTCAACATTCCCGAGGCTCCAAGAGAAGCCCCTGTAGTTTCGTGGAGTGGGTGCCCCAGAAGCACCGTGTCTGCCCTGGGGATGAGCTGCGGTGGCTGAGGTTTGGGGAAAATTGGAGCAGTACCGTAGATGCTTGCCCTACATCCTGGGCATCTGTTTCGGTTGTTTTTAGAGGCATGAGCCGGGTGGGCTGCTGATGCGATCCAGTCCAGCTGTCCTTAATGTTGCATGGATCGCTTATAACCCTGCAGCTCAGGCTGGGTCTGGGATTTTTTAAAGCGGTGGAGCACCAGAGACTGCGTAGCTCTTTCCTGAGCATCTCTCCCTTCTTCGCTCCCTTTGTTTCTCCATCTCTTTCTTTTCCCCTTGCCCCTCCACTCCTTCCATCTGACCGTGCCCCCCTCCCCGCATCCTGGGGAGGAGAGCAGGGATGCTGCAATTCCCAGGCACAGGTGCACAGTCCCTGCCGCGCGCTGCCCCCAGGCACGGCCCCGCACGGCCGCAGCTGACAGCCCACTGGAAATAATGCGTTGTGGCAGAGCGAGACTCAGCAGACCACGAAGATCTGCTGGTGCGGGAACTGCTCAGCAACCAGGAGCCACAACGCCTGGCTCCCGGCTCCGCAGGGCCTGATCCAGCTCTGGAGATGCCTGCACTGCACCCAAGCCTTCCTCCCCGACCCCTGGCTCTCAAGCGGGGCATTTTCCCACCCCATCCCTGTCTTTTCCTCTGCTCCCCCCTTTCCGTTCCTCTCCACTGTGCTGGGAGGTGGGGGTGGCCACGTCTGCCTGTCCCCATGCTCCGTGCTGTCCCCACAGCACCAGGTACAGGGGGAACGGCTCCCGCAGCAGGGTTGGAGGAGAAGGACCAAGTGTACAGGAACGGAACAAGCAGTTCCAGTCTCCCAGGAAAGATTTAATCTGCCTCTGGTGTATAAACAGCAAGTGTTTGTTCAACTGACCTGCAAACGTGCGGCACGAGGCACGGCTCCCACTCGGCTGCTCCGTGTTTTTCACCCTCAGATGAGGAGGGGGGACAGGGTACAGCCCAGTCCAGGGCCCGCGAGGCTGCACGGAGCTTGGTGGCTGGAACCAGGAGTGATGCTGGGGAGAACGGGCAGGATGTGGCCAGGTGCTGTGGCTGTGCGGAGGGCACCCATCCTGCACAGCCACCTCCACATCCCTTCTGCTCGCCTGGCTACCACAGCTCCCAGCCGTGACGCACGCAGGTGGCCGAGGTCTCAAGGACAAGCCGCGGGCTCTGGGCATGCTGGGGGGCCACTGCCCGTGGTGGTGACACCCCCAGGCAGGAGGCCCTGAGCGCTGCCTGCACATCCCGCTGAGATGGGCCAGTTCTGTACCCGCTGCTCCCCTGGGAGCTTCAACAGGTTCCAATCAAAGTAGGGGACATGGGTTCATGGCACAGGGATTTTTTTTCTCAGTGGCAGGGTCAGCTTCCAGTTCAACTGGCACGTGGGCACACTGCTCTGTCCCCAAGTCCCATTCCCTGCCCCCTGTCCCCACTGCAGGCAGGATGCCTGATGACAGATCTCAGTAAGAGAGTGGAAAGGGTCCTCCCTGTCCTGGCCTGCAAATGCTCTTGCTGTGCTCCACAGAAGAGGTGGGTGGTGATGCCACCTGGTCCTGGTGGTGAGCAGAACGTGGAGGAGCCCCCAGCACATGAGAGCATCCTCCAGCCCAGCACAGCCACCACCTGAGTGCGGGGCTGGTGGCACTGTCCCTGGGGGCACAGGGCATGAGGAGGGCCCATGAGCAGAGGGTGCCTGTGGACGCTAAGGATAGCCGGGACTCTGCAACCTTGAATCAGCCCTCGGGTGCTGCAGCCAGGCTATGGCTGGGCTGGGCTGGGTGCACACCGGTCCGGTGGGGACAAGTGCCCATGGCAGCTTGGAGAGGCCGCCTGAACCTGCCCTGGCCGCTCTGGTCCTGGCTGCCCTGCCTTGGGCCTCCCTTGGGCTCAGACCACGCTGTCCCCAGTGTCCCAGCTTGTTTCTCTGCATGGCCCCGGGTGCCTTCGGCAATCTGGAGATGGGGCTGCCCATATCCAGCAGCAATGTCAGGTTAAAGTCAGTCCGTCTGCCTCTCCCCAGCAGGTCTGTCTGTCTGACCATCCTCTCTGACAACATCTGTGCACGAGAAGGGCTTGGCAAGGCTGCACAGCTCACCAGATCCTGCGTTGTCTCCTTCCAGGGCACACAGCAGTCTCCAGGGAGGTGCAGGGAGATTCAGGCGCCGAGCCCCTCCATTCTCACCAGGAGCTGCCTCCAGGTACCCACTACCATGTCCAAGGATGACGTGGGCTGCAAGCTGACCTCTGTCTACAAGCACAAGGAAAGGAAGCCAAAAAAGCCCCACTACATCCCGAGGCCATGGGGCAAGCCGTACAACTACAAGTGTTTCCAGTGCCCCTTCACCTGCATGGAGAAGTCCCACCTCTACAACCACATGAAGTACAGCCTGTGCAAGAACTCCCTCTCCCTCCTCATCGAGTCCGACTGGCCCTACAAGAAGGGCAACCTGCTCCACCCCGAGCTGCGGCTCCTGCACGCCACCGAGGCCACCCGGCTGCGTGGGCGCCGGGACGAGCCGGAGACCTGCGACTCCTCGGCCACATTGGGAGGGTCGGGGAGGAGCAAGCAGCCCCCTGGCAGGGATGGCCACGAGGAGAAGCAGATGCCAGGCGTGGAGATCCTGCCTGCTGAAGGGGCTGGTGAAGAAGGCGGCCCGTTCCAGGAGGAGGAGGAGGATGTGGCTGGCCTCTTGAGGCAGATGGATGCGGGGGAGAAGAAGGAGAAAAACGAAGAGGCGGGTTGCCAAGGTGACCCAGCTGAACCAGAAGTGAACACTTTGGTCTTTGGTTTCAAGAACAAGCGAGACAAACCTTGCAAGGAGGTGGAGCCCGACTTCATCATCACGGATGTCTTCTCCCTCAAGAACCATGTCATGAAAAGCAGGGAAATGGCCTCCCCAGACCTAGAAGCTAAGCCAAAGCATTGCAAAGTGCCAAAGAAATGCCTGGCAAGCAGTGGGATCCTCATGGAGCAGTGGAAACTGGTGGCAAATGGGCAAAGAAGGAACACGCCTGAGGTCTCCCCACCTTGTACTGACAGCAACATCATCCCTTGCTACCCCCCTCCAGCGTACAGTGACTACCACGAACCTCAGGGCCTCAACCTCTCGCTTCTGGGTATTAACTACCCGCTGAACCCCAGTCTCTTCTCCTACCTGAGCCCCACGGTGTCCAACAGCGCGACCACTCACCCGCACCTGGCTCAGCTGCCCTTCCTGGCCTCCACGGCCCAGCTGATGCACCCGCACACCTCCCACTTCCAGCCCCTGCAGAGCCCCGAGCGCTCAGCCTTCCTGCCCCGCTTCTACTACCCCCTGCTCTTTGAGCACACCTTCAGCTCCACCGAAGGCAAAATGTCCTCCAGCAAGCCGGAGGCCCAGCAGCTGGTGGGCTCCGTCCTGCCCACGCCTCCCCAGCCCAAACCTCCCAGTGAGCCGACCAAAGCGGGGCTGCTGAAGGTCCCGGTTCTGAAAACGACTTTTCCTTGGCCCAAAAGCGGCAGGGAGGAGGCCGCCTCCGAGCTCAGCCACGGAGCCATGCTGGGGCAGGAAGAAGAGGAGAAGTGGCTGTCCCAAGAGAAGGAAGGCAACCCAGACTTGGGCCTCAACAACCTACGCAAAAAGCCGGCCACTGACATCTACCAAAATCTGGCAGGGATGAAGGATGGCACTTTTGTCTCCAGCGCCGTCCGGAAGGCAGAGCTGCCGGCAGTGACCTGTCTGGAGACCAGCAGCCCCGCGGGCAACAACCTGAAGAGGAAGCTTACCTCCAGTGATCTGGATTTGATAGGACCTGAAATGCTGATGCCTGGAAAACTCAGCTACCAGAGCAGGTAAGGTGTCTGATTTCTGCCTCTTCCTTACATCTGGCTGGCTCTAAGCACCATCTCCGTACCCTGCTGTATCCCCAATCCACCCCTTGCCTCTAGACCATGCAGTGAGTCTCCAAGGGCTCAGCACACTCCATGCTGGTGGTCCAGCCACCAGACAGCCAGCTCCCACCCACGGCAGGGCTTTCTGCCCTCCAGGACCTGAACAGCCTTCAGGTGTGTCCAGGCACCTGGGCTGTGTCACCTCTTGCTGCCCCTTGCTTTCCCCCATCTCATACGGAGCCAGAAGCTATGTGGGGTCTGTGCAGCATGGACCTGCACTCCCCAGGCACCAGGGAATCTCCTCTGGGGTCCCTGAGTGTCCCACGGTTGCTGGAACAATTGTTGACTATTTTTAAACATCCACATTTGCATTCCTTTGATTTGCCTTCTGGTTTCAAAGCCCAGAGGGAGGGTCACGCTTCCAAACATTTCCTTTTACCCGGGGCTAGAAATGTGCACAGCTCCTTTTAACAAAATTTCAGTTCCTCCCCTGATTGTGCACGTCCAGCTGTGGCTCCAAGAAAAATGTCACGGTCAAAACCACAGCTTTTGGCACCCAGAGGAACCTTCCCTGGAGAAGCTCTCTATGCTTTTCTGTCTCCACCTGCCTCTTCCCTGTTCTCAGGCTGGCTGCAGAGATCCCCCTCCAAGTGCCCTCCCTAGTGACTGTATCCATTTCTCCCCTGCAGTGGTTCAAGGGCCAACACCGGCCACATCCCCAAGGTCCTGGATCACTGGCACACGGATGTCCTTGCAGGCTGGCCTGAGGAACCGGAGAGGGGCAACGACTCCGAAGTCCTGCCCTTGGGGGGTGCTGGCCCAGACCCCAGCCCCTGCAAGCAGAGCAGACCACAAGAGACTTCTGCCACCGTGACAGACTCTGAGGCTACGACCGTGCTTATTGGGGACCTGTCCAAAACCTTAGAGGAGTACCAAGAGGTGGAGAAGAAACTGTCTGATCTGGCGAAGGAGGACACTCCCGGGCAAAAAGAGCTGAGGGACCAGCTAGTCAAAATCCGAAGGGAGCTCTACCACATCCACCAGGCACTGGAGAAAGCCACCAAACCCCACGAGGGGCCTCTGGACCTCTCGGTGAAGAGATCCTCCGAGGGTCCGGAGAAGGGCCAGCAGGCCAAGAAGGAGCCATGCAACATGGGCCTGGCCAGCGAGAAGCTCCACGGCAAAGACCAGGGCACCCTCACCAAATGCACGGCCACGGGGGACGCTGGAGATGAGGAGGGGCTGCCGAGCTGCCTCCTGGAGGCCGAGAACAAAACCATCGACTTGCTGATCAAGATGAGCCGCTCCGAGAGCCTCCGGGCGTCCTCTTCCGAGGACCACCTGGGCGCAGTGATCAAGGCCGAGGTGCTCCCGCTAAGCGTGCCGCTGGAGCTCCGGCACGTCATGGAGCCCTACTACAGCCGCACCACCAAGTGCGAGGCAGACTCCAGTGTCCTGCTCTGCTCTGACGGCAGGTCCGGCGCCACCCAGGGCCCGCAGCTCCCGGTGGCCGCCGAGGACGGGCCCCTGGGCTGCCGGGCCATGCAGCGCTCCCTGTCCTGCGGCCTGCCCAGCGAGACAGACGCCGTGTGCGTCCACAGCCCTCTGCATGCCGACCCCTAAGCCCACCTTGCTTGAAAGCTCCTGGATCTCACTAGCCACCTCATGCTTGACCTTCCTCCTGTCCCGCCTCTCCGCTCCCCCTCTTCCCCACAGCTGAAAGCTTCGCCACTGCCCAACCCCACAAGGCCCAAGAAAAGCCTTGTGCCCCACAAGGCCCAAGGCCTTGTGCCCCTCTCCCCACCGTCCTCGTGGACTCTGCATGCTCAACAGCCTCAGCTCCCCCGTCCTGGAGCTCGCTTTGAACGGGAAGTCACTAGCAGGCAAGAAAAGAAAGCTGCTAAAAGCACCGGGCTTTCAGCAGGAGGCTCGTCCACCCTTCTCATCAGAGACACTCAGGGACTTGTGCAGCCCAGCTCCCGTGGCTTGCAGACAGGGGCAGGACCACAAACGGGTGTCTGCAAGGCCAAGCCTGAGTCCAGATGTGGTTGTGCTCAAACAGGTTCTGGTTGTCACCCTTGTACAGAGCAAAGCCGTGGCTGCTTCGTCTCCTGGTGGCTTCAGGGTCACAGCAGGCAATCGGTTGCCCAGATGGACCCACCCAGAGGACAAATTATTTCCACGCTGTAGACACAAGAACATCCTCCCAGCCACGATGACACGAAGAGGTGAGAGACACCTCGCCTCAAACCACAGCTCCACACTTGGGTGCTGAGCCCTCTGCCGAGAGGCTCCACGAGGACTTGCCATGCATGGGACTGCTGGGCTGTGGGGACACGTTCCTGCCCACAGCTCTTCCCGTGTCTGGCTCCTTCTCTTGCCTTTTCCACAGAAATGAACTTCCCTCCCTCTGTCCCCTCGGCCTCTCCCCATGCAGACACGATGCACGTTCCTCAAAACGACCCATGCCCCTGCAGGGTACCACTCCCACAAGCTCCTGCCCACTGCTCCTAATTCCCAAAAATGTTGTTAAATGGGACAGCAAAATGGGTGAGGCGATGCTGCCATGAACCCCACTGCTCAAGGGACAAACACCTGAAAAACAGCTGCAAGGGGACTTTGGGATAGGGGGCTACCTGGCCTGTCTCATGCTGGAATGACCCCGAGCAGCTGCTCCCCAGCCAGGTGGGGAGCCAAGCGCCCTGTCCCCTGCCACCACGCTGGGCAGCATCTGCTCTGGCCAGGAGGTCCCCATGCCTGGGCCAGGCTTTCCTGGGCTTCTTACTAGCACGGTGGGTATAGCATGCTCTCCTTGGCCCTTTTTCTTTCCCTCCACACTCTGTTCAAGAGATGGCGAGTTCTCCTGCCAGCAGCCAGGGCCTCCACTGACTTGACCTGGCTGCTCCTTACCACAATGAGAAGAACCCAGATGGGGGCAGGAGGAGAGCCAAAGGGGACAGAAAGCAATGCCACAAACAGGGGACCCATACAGCCCAGCATGGGAGCTGTAGGCACTGTCTCTTCTCTGGGCACAACGAGGACAATGCTACCATGGGTGGCTGAAGAAGGCAAGGCCCACATGCAGCCTGGGGCTCCCAGGTGCTTTGATGGACCCAAGCAACAGAAAAAGCTGACTCTCCTCACCAGATTGCTCTCTAAACAAAGCTTGTAACTTGTCTGTGGGGTTTATTTCTCACTCACCATGGCCAGCTCCACACCTTCCTGGTGGGTCATGTCCTGCTGCTTCCCAGCATGGCCCTGGCTCCATAAGGCTATTGCAGACCAGGAGACCTGACCATAAGAAATCCCAGGGCTTCAGTGCAGGATGCTCGATCCTGGAGCCCAGGAGAGGTGGAGTTGGGTCCTTCTTTCTGGGTTTGAACAGTGCTGTGATCTTTGGGTGCCATAACATCACCAGCACTGCAGCCCTCTCCATACCAAGCCCCTTGCTCACACTACCCACTCCCCAAAAGCCTATCCATCTCTCTCCAGCCTCTTCTGCCACCCTGTGCCGCTGTCACCCCGTGCCCATCCTGCCACCCCACCCCTTCCCATGTCCTTCATCCCACAGTTTTCCCCTGCACCAGCATCTCCCCATCCCATCTCAGGGCTCCCTGCTCTCTCCCCCACACCAGCTTCTCTGTGCATTTTCCATGCCAGACCCCTTGTCCCTGGCCCAGGGAGAAGCACAGAAGCTGGAGCTCTGTTTTCCTGTGATATCCATTCCTGCCCACTTGGCCCTTACCTCCCCTGAGAAACATCAGGACTTTTGGGTCCCTCTGCCCGCCCTGGAGCCCCATCTCCTTCCAGCCCCGAGCATCGTGCTGTGTCTCCCAGCAAATCTTGGGCACCTGGCAGTGCCCAAGAGACACGGGTGGGGGAGCTGGGCTCTGTGACCATCAGCCATGGACTTCAGCAGGAGGTCAGTGCCCAGACCACCAGACAGTGCCACCTTTCCCCCTTTTCAGCTGCTGTATCGCTTGAACACAGGTCGTCTCCCCTCCCCTCCATCCCAGCACCCCAAGCTGGGACCCACCCTGCTCAGCGGTGCCGGGGTGGCAGCCGGTGCCTGCAGCCCTGGCTGCATTGCTCACGGCCTCTCCCGCCTCCGCAGAAAGCTGGAGGGCAGGTGGGAAGCAGAGGGCAATCACACTATTTATTGTTCACAGTTCTACGAATGTACAAAACAAAAACCAAACCATTAAAGGGAAAAACCTCCAAGCGGGGGCTGCTGCCGTCCTATTTGTTGGTGCTGGGCACTGCAGCTCTCCATCCCACCTCCAGATTTCGGGGGCTCAGGGTCAGCCTCTCGCCGGGTGGGGCCAGCTGCTGGCACTGGCTGCAGGCAATCAGTATTTCTGTGTGTGTAGCTTTCTTCTGCTGGATCAGCACTAAGACCCCCACCTGCTTATCCCACCGCCTTGTCTGAAGCCAGCTGTCAGCAGAAATGCCACGCAGTGTCTGGCTGTGGGGACGGTGAGCATGGCTGTCCCCGTCCTCAGAGCTGGCAGCATGGCACCGACATCTCTTCCTCCCCAGTGCTAGCACGGGAAGGAGCAGAGACAAGAACACGGGGTCGAATCCTGCACCCCCAGTGGCCCCCTACCTCGCCCCCATCCCAGTGGTGCAGCACCCACTGGAGAGGACGATTCCCCTTCCATGGCCACTTGGGGCTGTCTCTGCCCCATGCTCCTGCTGCATGGCCCCGGGTGCCTCCAGGAGGCAGCCAGCCCGTGGCACCCTTCCAGCCCCAAAGGTGGAAGCATTTCCCTTTGCATTTATATAATGGATGGGAGTTGAACTACCGGGGTGCCTTATCCAGGCTGCAATCTGCACCCTGGGGGCTCTCAGCCCACTCCAGCTCGGGGCCCATTACACGGCTATTTGCTCACCCTAAAGGCATCTGATAGCTGACCATCACCCGCCCTTTAGGGCCAGCCCACCTGATAGCCATCTTCCTCGGTCACGGTTGACCAAAGTCCCCCAGCTCACACGTCCCCCCCCCAGTTTCCTGCAGCACCAAGGCCGGTCCCCGTCACCCACTGGGGGACCCCGCTGAGGCCGAATTCTCGCCCATGCCCAGCGAGGCCAGCAGCCCCCCTCTGTGGGGTGGGGGGCCACGGGGTCACAGCAGGTCCCCAGCACTGTGCGGAGCCCAGCAGCTCCTGGTCAATGGAGCTGCACGACTTTTATGGGTTTCTTACCCCAGGTGGGTACAGCTGCTCCTTCTCAGGTATTCCTTCTCCTCCGGGTTCAAGAGCAAAGGACGGCTTGGGGATTGGGGGGGGGGTAAGTTTCCTAATAAACAACCCTCCAGGGAAGGCTTATCTTGGGCAAGGCAGTACGAGGAACAAGACGTCAAGGTTCCTTGTGCAATAAGAAGTTGTCACCCTCCCCATCCCACTGGCACAGGGACGTGGCCCCAGGGAAGCCGGGAGCAGAGCTGGGCCCCTGGGGGTGGGTTTGCTGCACCCCAAAACCCCTTTCCCAGCCATGGTGGCTTGGCTGCGCCCAGCAGGGCCAGCAGCAAGAAGCAGATGGAGGCACAGCCCTGCGCCCAGGGGACGAGGGTGCTGCCACGGAAAGCCATGCTGGCAGCATGCTCGCTGTGCCTCCCAGGGCCCGGAGCATGTTGCACATCGAGGCACACAGCAGTGGGCAGCCGGGGGGATGTGACGGTGAGGTTGGAGCCATGCGTGGCGTGGTCAGGGTGCTGGGCGCTCACTCGTGGCGGTGGGCTCCCAGGTGGAACCAGCTGGGCACGAGAAGTGGTTCCTGCCCAGCACAACCAGTTCTCTCCTACCTCAGCGCGGGCAGGCCGGAGCTCGGAGCAGTGGAAAGTTACCGAACGTGGACTAAAGAAGGGCCAAGGTCGGCAAGGAGATTTCTGAGCAGACGTGTGAAGCTGCAGAGACGACTTGGAGCGGAGCTGCTCCGTCTTGGGCAGGAGGGGGCAACGAGCTGGCCTTGAACTGTGAGCTGAGGGCAGGCAGGGCTTGGAGCTGGGACAACACACCACGAATCGCCCCAAAGGGTCCTGCCCCTGCCTGCCCGGTGCTTCCCACCTGGGGAAAGGGGACAGGGAAAAGCACGCAAGGTTTTCTTTCTGCCAGAGGAGTGCATGCTGTGGAGCTTCTCCAGGACCTTAAGTGAGGAGAAGTGGTGTTTTGAAAGTGTCCTAGAAGGTATCAGCAGGGCCAGGAGGGACCAAAATCCTCTGTGCCCCCTCTTAGGTCTTCTCAGTCCCTGTCCTGCCTGGAAGGACCTGCATGCCAGGAGCGAGCAGGGCAGGACGCAGCCCTCCCCACCTCCACCACCCCAGGCAGAAACGTCCCCAGGGCTGGTGGCACATCAGGGAGCGACCTGCAAGCAGCACAGATGTGCTGAGATGTGTGGCTGATCTGCAAAGCCGTGCAGGCACCATGCACAGTGCTCCCCGCTCGCCCTGACCCTGCTGCTCGCAGCCCTTTGCTGCAGCTCCTGGCATCACAATTGCCTCGGTGGCACCGTTGCCTCCAGCCCTCTTGCTGTGTCCTGGTGACTGTCCCAGGGCTCTGCTGGGACCACAACTCGAGCTGCTGGGATAAGAGTTGGACTCTCCATCCCCCTCCACGTGCTGTCAGAGTGGGCAAGCAGGCAGGGGGAGCCAGCCCACCTCCTCGGTGGGAGGAATAAGAGCACACAGGAGATGCAGGAGATGCTGGGCACCAGGGCCAGGTGCCACCCCAAAGCCACCCATGGCCCAGCACCGGGCTCCCCCAGCCCGGGGACAGATGAGGAAGGGGTGCCATGGGGGGGCTGCGTCCCAGGCAGCCAGGCTCACCCATGGGGCAGCTCCCGCAGGGAAGAAAGGGGTTTGTGCCAGCACCCAGCTGCTCCACACAGCTTTTTTGGGGTCAGACTCAGCAGGGAGCTCGGTGTCCTGAAGATTAACTGCCTAATCCTCCGGTGAGCCCCGTGAGAGCAGGAGGCTGTGCAGGAGGCACAGGGCTTTCTTATCACTCTGACAAGGGAGCTCAGCCGCTATCAGACACGAGAGAATCTCCTCGGTGGGCCCGCTGACTGCCAGCAGGGACCTGAGGGTCTCACAGGTGGACACATTGTCCCGGGGCTGGGGGCACGGCAGTTTTAGGACTTCCCACCCAACGCTCTCACAGCAGTGCCGGGACCCCGCTGGCTGTTGCAGAGAGGCACAGGCACGGTGCGTTTGATCTTCTGATAAATTAATGTGGCTCAGCACCCTGGGTGTCCGGACAGACGGAGCCGCCTGGTGTCTGTGCAAAGCCACAACAAGCTCGTGGCCAGCTCTGGCACCACGGGCAGCCAGACTCCTGCCCACTGCCCTGCTTTGGGTCTGTCCGTGAACAGTCTCAGCCAAAATCTCCCCACAGGGACAACGAGCCCTCCATGGACACCGTGCCCATCTGTGCCCCTGTCCCTCTCCCCAGCCTCGCAGATGTCTTCTAGATGGGTTTGTGGTTGTTTTATTTTTCCACAGCTCCACATCTAGGTAGCAATCCCACAGCACCAACCTCCTGGCACGTGTCCACGGTGCCCGGTGGGTGCTGTGCCCGTCCCCTGGGCACGGGGACTGGCAGAGATCCAGGGCTTGAGCTCCCCGGTCTCTGTGCTTCACTTGTGGACACTGAGGCAAGCCGATAGCCCCAAGTCAGGGGAGGAAAAACCCCAAGGGGAGAAGTTCTCTGCTAATGCCTGCCAGTGCCATGCTCCAGGAAAGCCTGAATCGCTCCTAAATTCTCTTCCCCCTGCTCCATCTCCAGAGCTGGCAGCCAGACCATGCCCCTCGCTTTGAACCCTGCAGCTCCCAGTGCTGGCGTGGGCAGGGGCTGTGCCGTGACACAGGCGTCTCCTGAGGTCCGGGGGTGGCTTTGAGACGGGTTGTGACAGAGGCACGGTCCTGCAAAGGTGAACGGGAGCCCCAGGGCCAGGCTGTGTTTGTTTATCCTGGTGATGGAGCACACCACGGCGAAACAAAAGGTCAGGCCCTGTTGCCCTGGGAGATGGTTTTTGAAGCTTGCCTGCTGTCCTCAGATGGAGTGGCCCCGGTACTTGTCATGTCAGGTTATTTTTGTAATTTTGGCTTGTCTGAAGCAGCCCCCAGACCCTGTGAGCTTCGGGAGCACACCTATAGCACCAGAAGGGCCCCAGGCACCGAGCCAGGAGCTCCCAGCCCTGGGCTTTGGAGGCAGCTCCCCGTCCCACAGCTCCCACAGCCAGCCAAACCCAACCACCTCCACCTCCAAGCACCCCAAAAGGTGGGGGGAGCCTGATCCAAACTTCATTATCTTTGGCCCATCTGAGTACTGGACAGACACAAACTTCTTCAAGCCCAGGGCCACATTTAAGGCAGATGCTTTGAGCTCAGCCCCAGCCAGAGTGGACCAAGCACTGTGCAAAGGCAGCGCTGCTGGGGAGGGAGGGCAGGCTCTGACCAGCACCTTGCAGGTGGGGCCCAGCTGATTCTGCTTTTACTCCCCACTCCCTTTGCTTGGGCAGAACCCATAAATGCCACCTTCAACCCTGAACATGACCCTCCCCAGCAGAGGGGAGCCAGGGCTGAGCCACATGGAGCTGGGCTCTTTCCTGAGAGATCCTCCACTGGACCTCAAACCCTGGCGCTGCAAAATTCCCCCGTCTGCTTCTGTGAACAGTGGCACTGAGGCACCCAACCACACATGGCACAGGCTGGGAGCACACAGAGGAGCATGGAGAAGCAGTGAGACAAGCCAGGAGTCCTGATCCTGTGGGACTGTCCCTGAACCACCTCCTGAAGCTGTCTCACTCAGGTGCAGCATATCGCTCCCGTCACAGAGACCTCTGCATAAAAGCCCCAAATTGCCACAACACCTGGGTACCTTGGGGTCACTCCTCCCTGGATGCTGGAGGAAAGGCACCTTCTTTCCGGGCACGAGACCAGCAGGGAATAAAAGCTGTGTGTATCAGCCCTCGTCTTGCTGCTTCTGGTTGTCAGCACGAGGAGCTGTCGTGTTTATCCAGACTCAAGGGCAATCGTCCGTCACTAACAACACAAGGCAGCGCAGCACCCTCAGCCCCGCTGCCCCAAGCCTGGCGAGGGAGCAGGACAGAGCCAGCAGGAGGGCAGTGCCACCGGGCAAGGACGGGCAGCCCTGGGACGTCGGGACAGGAGGTATGAGCTGGCCATGCGTGCAGTCACTGAGCTGTGCCAGGGACAGGCTTAGGACCATGAACGAGCAGCTCAGGACATGCCACCGGGGTGTGATGGCACCTTTGGGTGCCCAGCGTCAGGGGAGCGAGGTGGACACTTCTGGCATTGGGTGTGCTGCGGCAAGTCCACCTCGTGACTGCCCAGCTGGTGACTCAGTTTCCCCCAGTGTAAAATTCAATTTCTTGGATTTTGAACCTTGCTCGGTGCCAAAGGAAGACCCCAACACGTCCTGGCTGCAGCAGAGGTGGAGGGCTGGTTGAGGGCTGGTGGAGGGCTGGTGGAGGGCTTGCTTCCTCCAACAGGTCCCTGCTGCTGGGGGCCTGAAGCACAACCACTGTACCTGCACTTCAGGGAACAAGGTGGGAAAGCTGTCCCCAAGCCCCAGATCCAGAAGAAATTGGATTCCCTCCATATTCACACTCATTCCCTCTGTTGCATAGTTGCATTTGGTATCTCTGCAAGTGTTTGAGGAATGAATTTTCAGACAATTGCAATATTTGCACCTGGGAAGAGCAATTTGCCTCCAGGATGCCTTAGCCCAGTACAACTCTTTAGCTGTGGTTTGGGGAAGCTTTACTTTTGCAGGCAGCAAAGCCCACATGCTACCAGACACTCACGGGACCCAGGGTAATCAAAGTGAAGCAGTGGCTTGCAAACAACTCAGACCAGCTGAGCACATCCATTTATAATAATAATGATGATCTCATTTAAAGCAAAATTAACTTCTGTCTCTTCAGGAACTTTAATAAGGGCACGTTTTTCTTACCAGCTCCTGGCTGTGTGTTAGAAGCCATACGATATCCTGCCCCTGGAGAGCAGATAGCAGAGCAGGGCTGTGGTCTCTGTTTTTTTTGGATGGCTCATTCCTTGGTACTTGTGTTCTTAAAACAGAGGGAGAGTGGGCAAAAAAAAGAAATTGCGGTTCTCCTGGTGGCTCTTACATCTGCCAGAAAGCTTAACCTGTTTCTGAATTGGTTGCGTAGGCTGAAACTGGCTACCAGATCAATACCTCCCTTTTTCTTCCTGTCAAGGCATTAGCTGTTTCAGGAACAACTTAATTTATTTAGGCAGGGAGGGGCTGCCTTTAGCAAAGGCATGCACTGGCCAAGTGTGAAATTGTACCACATGGGAGTGGAGGAAGAGTTAGCCTCAGTTTCTGAGGTGCTAGAGTGGACTGAGAATGCTTTGGGGAGATGTGGCTTACAGAAAACAGGGTCAAGAAGTGTTAAGGGCTGAGAGAAGCCACTAATCTCATGAGCTGGAGAGGTGCAGATCACATCCAGCACACTCACATGCAGGGCTCTCCCTTACGCATAACTCCTCGGGGCAGATCTGTCAGCAGCCAAACTCCCACCAAAGCCCATGGGCCTTTTTGGTTGCAGATCCAGCTTTCCATCTCTTCAATTTTTGTGCCACTGTCCCTGTTTATCTGTATATTCTGAGCACCTAATTAATGGGACGGGCTGAAATCTTGTCTCTGTTGCATGGGGGTGAATGCAGCCCAGCACTGACACCTTGGCCCTGGGCGGACAGCAAACACCTGGGCTCAGAGCATGTTCCCAGAGACGGCAGCAGGCAGGGCCAGTAACTTTCCTATCACTTCCTCCAAACAGGGACACGAGACTTGTCATGGACTACACTCTGGAGACCAGCCAGCAGAAGGAGAAGCTTCTGAAGGCCATCTACACCCTCCAGCTGAAGTCAATCGCCACGTTTCAGACAGCCAGCCCTCTGCTGAGCAGCCAGCAGGGCATGGGCATGGTGACACACCACCACGTCCACCAGCTGGCAGACAAGACCAAAAGCTTGTGTAGAGACCTGGACAACATCAAGAACCTCCTCCACTACTGCCGGGACAACCTGGTTCGGCAGATCCCCAACCCCACCAGCAGCCGCTATGGGGGAGTAAGCGGAATCCACTGCTCCCTGGAGGGCTCCATCTACGTGACAGCCGAGGCTGCTCCCTGGGTCCACGTCCTCAGCAGCACAGGCAAAACACTGCAGTCGCTGCCCTGCCGGCAAACGGGGATGGAAAGTGGCACTTTCCTGCCAGAGGATGTGACTGTGACTCGGACAGGAATGGTGGCTGTAGCCGATATGATCAACGGAGCTGTCTGGGTCTTCAACCCTCACACCAGCCCCTCCAAGGGGGAATGGATAAAGATCAGAAAGGTCGGTTCCCCCAGGGGCATTGGAGTAGACTCCACGGGCAAGATCTTGGTAGCAGACTATGCCCAAGGCCAAGTCCACAGCTTCGCGCTGGACCGTGCCTTCAAGACATCGAATGTCCGCTCGGTCCCCAACCTGCAGGGACCTCGCTACGTCAGCCCCGCGCCCAAAGGAGGCTTTGTGATAAGCGAGGAGTGCGGGGACGTCAAGGTGTTCACGAGCAGCCATCAGCTCGTCTGCTCCCTCGGCAGCAAATACGGACACCAGTTTGGCAACCCGGCGGGGGTGTGTGTTGACGTGGAAGGCAGCATTGTGGTGGCAGACGAGCAGCGCCGCACGGTCCACTTGTTCCCGGAGAGCGGGGCTCCTGTCTGCTTGGTGTCCACGGGGCTGAGGAGACCTGCCGGCGTGGCCTGCTCCTCCTTTGGGCACCTCTTTGTGGCAGACACAGGGGAGAATTGTGTCAAGGTCTTTAAATACCACGTGAGGCCCCGTCAGCCCTTGGGGACTTTGTGACAACCCCAGCCTAGCGCCCGGGCAGGGAGTGAGGCTGGTGCCACCGCAACCCTGAGGAGCTTTGGGTCTGCAAATGATGCTGCTCCCACAGCCAGGCATCGTCCCCACACTTAACTTTGTTGCTCTCCAGCTTCTCCAGGTGGCAGAAGCAAGGACTGGAGCAGCGAAGGATCATCTCTGTGCCTCCTGGGTCCAGCAGAGCACCTAAAGAAGGACTGAGTTACTCAAAACCGAGAGGGTGGTCGTGAAGTGGGACAGGCTCCCCATGGCTACGGTCATGTCACCGAGCCTGCTGGAGTTCAAGAAGTGTTTGGACAGTGCTCTCAGACATGTTTTAATTTCTAGGTAGTTTTTTATGGACCCAGGAGTTGGACTCAATGATCCTTACGAGTCCCTTCCAACTCAGGACTTGATTCTATTAAAAATGGTTGTGTGCTGGTGTCTGGGAAACTCGTTATCACCACCCCCATTGCGTGCCTCTTCAAAGATAAAACAATAATTTCTCTTCCACACACACACATTTTCTGTGGCCACAGTTCCACCTTCCTGAGGCCAGCGGCAGAGCTGGGCTGAAGGGGTAAGGCCAGGCCTTCAGAAGGGGAAATGGAAGGCAACCACTCCATGCTGCATTCCTGACCTCTACAGGGAAGCAGCGACTACTGCACGGCGTAGGCCGCCTGTGTGCATGTGCAATGTTTACACAGCCCTGGGACTGTGCTGACCCCCGGGCTGGGGGTTTTGGGGTGCCACAGCCCTGCTGCTATCAGCAGAGAGCTGGCAGGGCGCGGTGGCGGAGGGAAGGGCGTTTTCCTCTCCTGCTCCAGGCATTGCTGGGGCAGGGTGCACCACCAGCACCGAGGCCTCTGTGGATGTGCTGAAGGCAGCGGCTCTGCTGCAGGGCTCCGAACCCACACAGGGCACCCAAACCCTCATCCCGCACCCCCAGTGAAGGGCTCTTCCCCTTGCTGACCCCACAACCCAGGAGCGTGCCTGCAGGGGAGCTCAGCACCGCTGGCTGCCGGCCAGGGCATTCACGGGGGCAGGGTGCAGGGAGGGGGAAGGGGGTGCCAGCAGCAACGCCTAGGCCCTGCCCTGCCCTCCCCGGAGCGCTATCGGCTCCCAGGGCTGCTTATCAGCGGGCTCAGCCGGCAGCAGCGCGCCCAGCCCGGGGAGAGCCTCGGGGGCAGCGCCGCAGGGGGAGCGGAGCCACCAGGGGCTGCGGCGGCGGCTCCGTGAGGCCGGGCCTTAAAACACAAAGCGGGGAGCGGGGCTGGGGGAAGCCGGGGGAACGACGCCGGGGAGCGGAACGCGGCGGGGCCGGGCCTCGGCCCTACCCGGGCCGGCTGCGGAGCGCAGGAGGCTCCGGGCTGCCGGAAGAGGGCGGGCGGCGGAGCGGTAGGCGGCGGGCACGGGGTGCGGGGCGGCCGGGCCGGGAGGGGACGGGAGGGGATGGAGCGGGCCTGGACCGGGCCTGCCGGCCCCCAGCGGCCCGCTCACGGCTCCCGGGAGGCCCGGGCTGAGGGGCGGAGGGTCGCGGTGCTGCACGGGGGCCTCCGTCCCTGCATCGCCCCGGGGGGGGTTTGGGGTCGGTGCCGGGGGGGCAGCAGGAATGGGAGGCTCTGGGTGCATCGGGGCTGTCTGCACGGATCCCAAACGGCCCCTGGGGGGGGGCACAGATCCCAAATAGTCCCCGGGGGGGCACAGATCCCAAACGGCCCCTGGGCAGGACCTTCCCTGCCGGCCCTGCAGCAGCCCCCGGGCAGTGCTCCCTAACCCGAGCTGCAGCCGAGGTGTTTGGCTGGCTGACCGTGGGCTGGCTTTAAAAGCTGGGGAAGGTAAGGGGAAAAGCAAAATAGGAAGGATAAGAAGTGTTTCTCCTCCGTGAGAGTTTTTCCTGGGTGAGTGTGGCCGTCGCTTTTTACCAAAACAAAACAAAACAGTGGAAAATAAGTGTTTGAATGAAAAGAGCCGGCTGATAACTCTCCTCACTGCATGGCCAAGCCTGTAAGGCGGGGAGTTGTGCAGCAACGTGGGCAGGCTCGTGGCGATACGCTGAACTCTGACATCTCTTGAGGAAAAAGAATAAAAATGTAACTTTTAAAAAGATATCTGTCCAGTGGTAACTAAAACATGCTGGGAAAAAAAAAAAAAAAAAAAAAAAAAAACACTCAAGGTCTTATTTTCATCAGTTTTCTCAGGGCTCTTTAAATTATCCAGCTCAATTTCAGGATTTTAAAATATTCAGTTATTGGTAAACTTTAGTTGTAAATTTTTTTGGTACTGCAGTGCAGTTAGGATGCACTCACTCTAGCTAAACCTGTATCATTTTAAATAATCTGTGAGCTTATTTATGTAGGCACATTCCCAGCGTGTTCAGTCTGTTGATTTATTGGTTGGTTTGTTGGTTTTGAGCCCCTGTATTTATATTTGTATCTTTTATTTTATTTTACCTGGGAGTACATATGAGACAGCAAAAAGAAAATGCATTTTCAAACCTAAATCTAACGTCAGAGTGTTTGTAAAAGAAAGAAATATGAAATGCAGGGGACAGGTTTTACTTCACTTTTTTAGAGCCAGTCTGTTTGTGTATGTTAGCTTATTTTCTCCAAAAAAAAAAAAAAAAAAAGCCACCCTGACCTTAGCTGTTTCAATAGAAGTGAAAGGTAAGCTTGGATGTCTTGGTTTTAGTCTGTTTGGGGTCTAAGAGTCATTAAATATTGTTGAAAGACTGCATTTTTCAGTTGGACTGCAGGTCTTTTGTCTTTATCACACCTGCTGTCCTGCACCTTCACGGTCTCAGGATGTCACATCTGCCATTTCTCTCCCCTTCTTTTGGTACATTTTTCCACTTCGCTTCCTCTTCTGCTGGAGGCTTGAAACCCTTTGGAAAAAATATGTATTATTTAAGGTTCTCGTGAGATCCTGCATCCTTGCAGGCTCCACATCTCTGCAGTTATCCCTCTGGTCAAGTAGGAGGAGATGTCAGTCCTCTGTGGCCTCCAAATGCTGCTCTTGCCATGGGCAGGAGGGCCCTCAGTGCCTGCAAACACAATTCAGCAGCACGCTGCTAACAAAATCCCCCACGAGCACCTTTACACCTGTTTGAGGGGAAACGCTGGGGTGAGCTTTGCACTAAAAGGGAGCATTCAGTCCCAGAGAAACCTTGCTCCTTGCAAGCACAGCAACTGCGGGGCTTCTCCGCTCGGAGGAGTGAGCTGTGCGCCGAGGAAACTTCACCTTTGCCTCAAGGGGCTGACAGCTCATCCGTGAGCAGATTTCCTACCACTGTATTTGGCAGGGCTGTGGGTCTGGCAGCAGGTTAATCACTTCCCTTTGCCGCTTCCCCATTGCCTACTCCGTGCCCTAGCAGATTGCCAGATGCTGGGATTTACGAGATCAATTGTCCCGCATTAAAAAGAGAGGAAAAAACAAAAACACCAGGGACCGCTGTGTCGTGCACCCTCTCTCCATGTTATAAACACGCTCTGTGTTTCTCTTTCCAACTGACTGGGTCCCTCGCAGAGGAGCCAGCCTGGGGGCCTGTGGAGTTTTCACATCTCTAACAAAGCACTGAAGGACAGAAAAGGACAGCGGGCGCCGGGTGCTGATTGTTCTGTGCCAGCGCCCTCCTTACAGCAATTATATTTCTGTTCGAAACCTCCACCTTATTTAAAGAGACGTTGTCAGCCGCCTCGAAGCTCCTTTTTACAAAAGACCTATAAAGCCATTGAGATGTTTTCTTAATGACCTGAAGAAAAATACTTTAGAAAAGGGACATTGATAAAACAGATATGCCTCTGCTGGTTTGGGATCTAATGCATCGACACTGCTATGTAAACTGTAATGAGTTAATTGAGGTAGTCCATCCACAGCAAGATTATTGTCTTGGTTTCCAGATGAGGGGAGTGAGACTACAGAAGGTGAGTGATCAGTGGGTTTGTTACAGAACACGGCTCTGGGTTCCCAGCTGATGAAGGAGGCTCTGAAATCGTCCTCCTTTATAGCATAAAGCAATACTTCATTGTCAGTAATAGGAGGAAATATTCCCCAGAGGCACTGCAGTGTGCTACTGCCTAGGCAAGTGTGGGAAGTGCTCAGGAACAGTGTCAGAACCGAGCTCCAAAGCTGGATGGATTCCTGGTCTCGGTGGTCCAAGAGGCCAGTGTGCCATCGTGGAAGGCTGCTCCGGGGCTGGGAGAGGGCTTTGAAAACTTCACTGCAAAGACTGCAGATTATCAGGGACCCCCTAGATGCTTCTCTGATCGAAAGGCCTGGTGGCTGTCACTAATGTCATTGACTTGTTCCAGTGCAGAGACAAGTAGTTGGACTTAGTGTTTTAAAATTCGGCTGGGCCCCCTTACTGGCGGCTTTAGCCAGCTGAGGTTTGCCTTGCATTTAATTGCCAGCCCCAAGTTTCGTTTCTGTGTCTCTTGGCAGGTGTGCTGTTCTTCAGGGATCGCTGACATGGTACTGAAGGTGTTCTTCCCTTCGTGCTGCTCCTCAGCAGAGAGCGGCATTTTGATCGGGCGCTGGATCTCGGAGCAGAACTCTGCAGTTATCCTTGCTGTGGTCCATTTCCCTTTCATTCCCGTTCAGGTGAAGCAGTATCTCAGTGAACTCCAACGGGTGACTAAGGTCAATGTTTCCGTGCTTGGCTCATGGAACAACAGCAAGCAGGAGAAAGAAGAGAGCCTGAGCGAGTTCTTGGAAGACCTTGGGACAATATTCTCCCACGAGCCCTGGATTCAGATAAGCAAAGAGGGAGACAGCAAATTCTGGAGCTGTTCCACCCTTCAGAAACGATCAAATAACCACAGGGAGGAAGAAATCATCTTGGTGTATTATGACCAGCGCAAAGTTATGCTGTCCTGTCTGCACCCCCCTTTGGACACGGCTGCCACCACCGCCCAGGAGGCGGAGGATGCTTCGAGGCTCTCTGCCATCTTCGACACCGTGGCAAAGAGCAAGGTGCTCTTCATGACAGACAAATACGATGATGGGCCCATCAAGCTGACCCACTGGCAGTCGGATGGCGTTGAAGCCAGTATCATCGTGGAGCTGATGAAGCAGGCCTCTGTGCCCGCCTGCATGCTGCTGACATTCCTGCTTTTGCTGATCTCTGGAGCCTGCAAGAGCAGGTAGGTGGCGTGGCATGGGTTAGCTTGAGTTTGTGAGGAAATGTGGTTCATACCACATTGATACCACAGTGTAGGGTTCCTGCTCAACCCCAATAGGAGCACTTTATATAAAAATCAGTTTATTCATCAGCACCATTTGTGTTGTATCTCCGGTACTGTTTTTCGTTCTACGGACCTCGTGTGCCTCCAAGACATCTCCTTTTCTGATCTGAGGTCAGCAGCCTGTAAAATTACCCTTAGGTGGTACAGCAGGTGATATAATAGGTATGGACTGCAGAGCTTGGCTCTAATTTGACAGGTGGATGTGCCTCCTGTGGGGCTCCTCAGTCCCAGCTGCATCACAGCCCCTCTCCTGTGCCTTCACCCCGGCAGGCACGGTGCAGGGGCTGGGGATGGGGCTGACGGACCTCACGCTGCTGGCAGGGACCAGCCAAAGTGCAGAGCTGGCTGCCAGGAGGGGAACCCGCTGATCCGAGTCTCAGGTGTGAGAAGTGTGAAGGGAAGGGCTGCTCCTTGTGCCAGTCACACCACATCCACAGACCAACCCAGTATAAACCAGTGGTGTGTCAGGTTCTGTGGGCAGCAGCATGCAGTGAAGCTCCCGAATGAACCTGCTGGTGGAAACAGGCTGCTGCAAAGCTGGTATTAAAGCATGGGGAGCTCCACTGAAAACAAGGAGTTCAAGGTACCCTCAATCATGGTGGAGCTCTTGGATGGGTGGGGGGGCTTTCTGGGGAGGCACTGAGCTCTTCCCAATTCCCCTGGGGGTAGCTCAGCCCTACTTCAGTTTTGTCACAGCTGAAATGTTGGTTTTCCA